GCTAATAATTTTCTTACATTGATTTTGTAAAGAAAAGAGAATTTTAAAGAAAAACTTAGAGCATTATTTTGAAAAGGGTTTAAGGAAACTTGAGTGGTTCCGAATGTATTATTTTTACATTATAAAAAAGAGTACTATTTTCAGAAAGGTATAAAGAGTTTTTAGACTGTTTGAGAAATATTTTGTACAACTTTAGTTACCTCTAAAAGAGGCCTTTTAAGGTATTATCTCAATCCAAAGAGTAATTTACATGAGCATACAATCACACTTTTGGGAGTATTATTGAGCACCGATTTGAAATAAGTGTTGAGGTAACTCGAACGCCATAACCTATGACATCAGCGTAGAGAGGATCGTACTGCAAGACGGATGACTTCTCACTTGCCTCAAGAAGGATTTCTATTGGATTTGTCATTTCAGTTGCGTCCTATACTCAGGCAAGGTATAGGGCGGCTCTGGCAACGTGGGTAAGACGTTGTATCATCATAAATCTAATAATAGTAGTTGTCGGTTAGATAAACTCCACAATAAAGTAAGGAGTATTTTTATATAATTACATTCAGTTCAATACTCAATATTATTTTCTTTATTTCGAAGCTTAAAATGATTTTTATTTCATGGTTTTCTTTACATTTAGTTGAGTTATTTTCAGCCTTTCAGTTCAGTTAATTATTTCATTTATCCCTATCACATACTTGTGTATTCAATGAACTGATGTCATTCGACCTGTATCATTTTATGATGCAGATATATGTGTTCAAGATCATCAACAGGCATTCCGTTAAGATCACCCAAACATTCATCTACTTTTGGTGAGGCCTCCTAGCTTTTGGAGGACTCCAGTCTCTAGTTACTTCTAGTAGTTGTTTAAGCTTGTTGTGGGTCGTATCTCGAAGCCTATCTTAAAATAGTAGAGACTTCATAAATAGACAATCTTTGAGAGTTATTTTCAGCATTTTCATATTTTATGTTTTGCTAAAACTATAACTATTGCATTTAGTATTTTAGACAAGTAGTTCTAGTATCTCATTCAACGTCTTAAACTTAATAATGCTTGAGTAAGTTTTCCGCTAAACAGTCACTCAAGAAAAAGGTTCTCTTGGGGACCGGTAATAATTTTCGAGTACCGGTCACTCTAGGGTGTAGGCTTGAGGTATGACACAACTTTTGAACATTTGTAAGTCGAGCTAGGGGACAAAGATGGGGATAAGATATTGTATAGGCTTGTGAAAGAGATAGAGAGAAAGACTTGCGACTTGGATCAAGTGAAGTGCATCAACGATGAGGAAGGGAAGGTGTTGGTGGAAGAGAAGTTCATTAAGTAAAGGTGGCAAACATACTTCCATAATCTCTTTAATGAAGAAAGAGATAGAGATATTGTGCTAGGTGAATTGGCACACTCTGAAAGACTTCGGGACTTTAGGTAATGTAGGTGTTTTAGGGTTGAGTATATTATACATGCTACTAGTAAGATGAGTAGGGGAAGAGCGATCGGCCCTGATGAAATTCCAGTGGAATTTCGGAAGAGCATTGACAAGACATGTCTCAAGTGATTGACTAGGTTGTTTAATGCTATTTTTAAGACGAATATGCCAGGAGGTGGAATACAATGGTTCCATTGTATAAGAACAAGATGATATCCAAAACTGTAACATTTGCAGGGGTATCAAACTGCTAAACCACTCTATGAATGTATGGGAGAGAGTGGTGGATATGAGGATGTGAGAGGGGTGTCTATTTTTAGGAATCAATTTAGATTCATGTCTGAGCGATCGACAATTGAAACAATTCATCTTATGTGGAGACTGGTGGAGAAATATAGAAAAAGGAAGAGGGACCTACAAATGGTGTTCGTTGATCTTGTAAAGGCTTATGACAAAGTTCTGAGGGAAGTCCTTTGTAGGTGCTTGGAGACTAAAGGTATCCCGATGGTTTATATTAGGGCAATAAAGGGCATATATGATGAAGACAAGACTCGGATTAGAACCCGGGAGGAGATCCAAATTTTCATTATTTCAGTCTGAGGTGGAAATTGAGCTTACTTCACCTTAAATGATAGATTGTGTGATGATACTCAAATCACCAAGAAAATGCTTAAATTTTTTTTGTATGTTTATTTAATGTGGAACTATTTTAGATTTCAAGGATTTGAAATTATATAATGTTCAAGTTATTGTACATAAATTTGTATTACTTTAATCTGACATGAATTTGAACTTGTGAAACTTGTCAATATGAATTTGTTTAATAAAATTTGATTTACATTAGATGTGTTATTTAGTAAAATTATTCATATTGGTTTGAAGGCTTGATGTAAATCAAATTCAACATGTTTTATTAAAGAAATAATACTTTTGTGATATTCGGAAACCTCTAATCTACAAATCAAATTATCTAAATATTGATTTCATATCAAGACAGTTTTAAATCCACACAATTTTTTCGACTTTTAAAATATTGAAAGTTTGAAACCATATTGTGACATTTCTCAATAGTCATAAATTGATATTAAAAACCTTCACAAATTTAAAAGTCATTTTTGTGATGATTGTTATCGAGGTTTATTAAAATCATCACAAATATGCTCCTAGCTAGCATAACTATAACATTTTAAAAAATCGTCACAATTCAATTTATCGAGGTCATAATCGTCATAACTTGACAAAATAATTCCCATTGAGCATTTACTTGTATTATTTGTACAAGATATGCAATTATAATACCATCTACTAATAAAATGGATAAGAACTCTTAACATATAATGTTCCCTAATTAAAACAAATCAGCTTGTTTCGACAAAAAAAATAAAATTAAACATATTCCTGTAGCAAGAACTGAAAAATCATAATGCTGCTATAGTCAACTTTTTGAAAAATGTTAAACTAAAATATGTATAAAAGGATGCTTAAAAGTAAAACTATTTTTTATTTTATTTTCTGATGATAAAGGAAATCCACAATTGTTTATTATTTGAGTGCACATAGGTTAAATTATTTTTTAATATAATATCCCGAAAATCAAAGATGTAAATTATCTTACGCAAATTTCGTGCTATTAGCTCGATCGAAAAAATATGTAAAAGATGTTGAATCTAAAACTCCATTTGGGAGATTCTCTACTAAATTAACTCGGTGAAGTGAACCTATCCGTTGACTATAATATTATAACATTTGTATACTTATAATTATTTTTCGCTGTATAACAAATTACAATATTTTTATTATTTCTCAGCCATAACAATTTGTATAATTCATATACAATTAGTATGCTCCAAGAACTTCCGTTTTGTGTGTAGAAAAAGGAATACATGACCCATAAAGAATAGGGTAATATATTCTGGTAATAATAGAGCTAAAGTGTAGAATTTAAGGTAAAAGGTTAACTTTGCCGTAATGGGAAAGGTTCTGCACAAAAAGCAATATGCTTTAGAATATCTATGACCAAACGGATCCTTTTATATAGTGTTAAAAAAAATTTAAAAATTGTTTGCTAGTGGATAGAGTTTTATCATGTGTTTGGTAAAATTTAAATATTATTTGATTATACAACTTGTCATTATTTGATAATATTTTTGACAAACAATTTAAATTTCCAAATACTTAAAAAAACTAACATTTAACTTTTATATTTTATAAAAATACTCATCATTAATAGATTTGGACTGTTATACAAAATTTATACAATTATTACTTATTTTATGTAGTTTTTATTCGATCTAATTCAAGTCACTTTCAATTACAATTAGTAATAGTAATTTTTCGTACACAAATTAATGCTAATTTTCTTTTATTTTCTTCCTCTTTTTTCAGATTTATATTAATTGTATTTGTTTTCATGACTTTTTATGAAAAAATGTTCATTGTAAATGATATTACAAACTTATGAATATTTTAATAATCTTTTAAACTTATCGCTATAAATTATATTTAAACATTGCGAGACTTTATTAAAAACCTTCATCATCGAAAAATGACTTATTAAAAATACATTAAATTCTATAATCAAACACTAGATTCTACTCTCTCTCTCTCTCTCTCTTTACGAGGAGTATCTGTTTTTGGATTTTGATTTGATGCATCAACTTTTACTATTATTGGCTTTTTGTGACTTGGAGGGAACCAAACAATTATGGAGGGTCAAGATATTATTTTAATCATCTTTTATTCCTTTTTTGGGTTTGATAGTGATACCCCTTCTTGTTTTTTTCTTATTTTGATCATAGAAATAGAATAAACAAAGAAATTTGTCCCATGACTCCACCCCACCCTGTCTCCATTAAGGTTTCTCTTTCTTCATTTACTAATTTCATTGATGTCTCTTGGATTCTTCAAATGACTATTTTACCCTCTTCATATGACATCATGCATGATGTTTTTATGCACCTTTATAAATATTTAGGGATCCTTTGAATAATGAGATATTTCAATATTGTTGTAATCATTTTGGTGGTTAAATGAATGGCCATTACTCCTTGGTTAATTTTCCTCCTTTATGAGTAGTAATGTTGTTGATAATATGGTTAATTGGATGACCATAACTCCTAGGTTTATTTCCTCCATAATGGATAGTAATTCTCAAGGATTAATGTAATGTTTATGACACCCTTTGGTATTCCTCAATGTAATTCTATAAATAGTGGTGTTGAGAATAATGTTGAATACACTTGAAAGACAGAGAGGAAAGGCTCAAAATAGTCTCTCATCTTTGGGTTAAGGCTCAAAGTCATCCTTGAGTTTTCACATGGAGCACTAATAGTCCCTCATATTTGCAATATTGGTGCACTTTTGGTCCTCAAAATTTTTACCTATTTTTAACATTAATTTTGTCCACAATTTTATGTAAGGAATGTCCAATCGTCTTTTTATATATTTAGTAGAAATAATAACTCTATGTGAGAGAAGGTGATAAGAAGAACACATTGTTCTGTTCAGTAGAAATATTACTTATGTACTCACTATTTATCTTAGTCTAATTTAATTATTTTCTATGATAGTTTTATCATGTCGAATTTATCAAAGCTTGAGTTCGTGGCACTTGACATTTCTGGAAATAATTACTTGTCATGGGTACTCGACGTTGAAATTCACCTTGACGCTAAAGGTCTTGGTGCTACTATTACCAATGGTAATACGATGCCGAGTCAGGACAAAGCAAAGGCAATGATTTTCCTTCGTCATCATCTGGATGAAGGATTGAAGGTGGAATACTTTACGGTGAAAGATCCACTTGAATTGTGGACTGGTTTGAATGAAAGGTATGACCACCTTAAGGCAACGGTATTGCCAATGGCTCATTATGAATGAATTCACTTACGACTACAAGATTTTAAAACTATATGTGAATATAATTTTGTTGTATACAAAATTACTTCCCAGTTGAAATTATGTGGGGAATATATAAAAGATGAGGATATGTTGGAAAAGACTCTCACAAGTTTTCATGCCTCAAATTTGGTAATACAACAGCAATACCGTGAAAGGGGAATCAAAAAGTACTCTGAGTTGATCTCATGCCTTCTTGTGACTGAGCAACATAATACTCTTTTATTGAAAAATCATGAGGCCTGTCCCACGGGAACTGCTCCATTACCGAAAGCAAATGAGGTTGAAGCACATGGCCAATCTGAGAGAAGACAAAATAAAAATCAGGGGCAAAATAATGTATGTGGACGTGGCAATGGCAGGGGACGATATAATAATCGTCGTGGTGGTGGTCGCCACAAAAGGGAGAACAATATGGGTTCTCAAAGCAATCCTTCAAGAGGCAATTGTCATCGTTGTGGCATGAAAGGACATTGGAAGAATGAATGCCGAGCAGCTGAGCATTTTATTAGGCTTTATCAAGATTCCTTGAAAAGAAAGGGAAATAAAAATGGTGCATATTCTTCTAATGCTCAGGTGGAGTCACACTTGACTTATAAAAATGATGTCGAGGCAGGGCCTTCACAAAAATATGATGACAATATTGAAGCAAATTTGGCTTTCAAAGATGATGATTTTGATGACCTTGATGATATTACTCATTTGGAAGTTGAAGACTTCTTTGGAGATCGAAACTATTTTTTGATCATTTGATTGGGGAAAATAATTATGTTGTTTCATTTATGTGTTTTTTATTGTTATGTTTTTCCTTATGCTGTTTTTATATTCAGAAAAAAAAAAGGTACTTTTATTTTCTTGCAAAGTTGTTCATTTTTCATACTTCTTATGATGTACTTTTATTTTATGAAGATAAATAAAATTCCCCAATTTCAATTGGTTTAAGATGAGTAATGGAGATATGTGTTTTCTTGATAGTGCTACAACGCACACTATTTTAAGAGAAAAGAAATATTTCTCTAATTTGATTGTGAAAAGGCTTATGTTAATACAATATCTGATAGTGCAAAATTAATTGAGGGCTCTGGAAGAGCAGTCTTACTACTACCTTGGGGAACGATATTAACTATTGAATATGCATTGTATTGTAGTAAGTCTCAAAGAAACTTATTAAGTTTCAAGGTTATTCACAAAAATGGCTATCATGTTGAGACTGCCAATGAAGGAAAGGTTAAATACCTTTATATTACTACAGTAAAATTGGGGTAAAAATATGTGCATGAAAAATTACCCGCATTTTCTTCTGGATTGTACCATACAAGTATTAGTATGGTTGAATCACATGCCATAGTAAACAAAGGGTTTACTAATCCTAATGATTTTATCATTTGGCATGATCGGTTGGGCCATCCCAGTTATAATATGATGCGCAAAATTAATTGAGAATTCACATGGGCATAATTTGAAGAATCAGAAAATTCTTCAATCAAAGAAATTCTCTCGTGTTGCTTGTTCTCAAGGAAAGTTCGTTATTAAACCATCAGCACCTAAGGTTGGGATTGAATCCCCTGCATTTTTGGACGTATACAAGGTGATATATGTGGGCCAATTCACCCTCAATGTGGGCCATTTAAATATTATATGGTCTTGATAGATGCATCTACAAGATGGTCACATGTGTGCTTATTATCAACTCGCAATATGGCTATTGCGAGGTTGTTGGTTCAAATAATAAAATTAAGAGCACAATTTCCAGATTATGCAATAAAGACAATTTGTCTTGATAATGCTGGTGAGTTTACATCGCAGGCCTTTAATGATTATTGTTTGTACACTGGGATAATAATTGAACATCCAGTTGCTCATGTTCACACTCAAAATGGTTTGGCGGAATCTTTGATTAAGCGTCTCCAATTGATAGCTAGACCATTGTTAATGAGGACAAAGTTACCTGTTTCAATACAGGGGCATGTTATTTTGCATGCAGCAGCATTGGTGCGCATAAGACCAACTAGTTATCATGAATTCTCTCCATTACAGTTGGTTTTTGGTCATGAGCCAAATATTTCCCATCTTAGAATTTTGGGTGTGCGGTATACGTTCCAATCGTCCCATCGCTACGCACAAAGATGGGTCCCCAAAGAAGATTGGGGGTGTATGTTGGGTATGAATCTCCTTTTATCATCAAATTTTTGGAACCTATGACAGGAGATATATTTACAGCAAGGTTTACTGATTGTCATTTTGATGAATCAGTATACCCAACATTAGGGGAAGAACATAAGCAGTTGGAAAAAGAGATAGATTGGAATTCATTATCCCTATCTCATTTAGATCCTCGAACAAATCAATGTGAGCAAGAGGTTAAAAAGATGATCTATTTTGCGATTAAAAAGATGATTTATTTGCAAAATATTGCAAATCAAATACCAGATGCATTTACTAACCTTCCAAGGGTTACTAAATCTTATATTCCAGCTGCAAATGCTCTAGTTCGAGTTGATGCCCGGTAGGACAAATTGTTAAAGTAAATGAGTCTAAACCATGTTTAAAACGTGATAGGCGAATTGGTTCAAAGGATAAAAATCCTCGAAAAAGGAAAGGAACAAATTATCATGAAGATCATATCATGGAGGAAATTGCTCAAGAAAAGCTCCGAGACATAACAAATGACAAGACCACAGAGAAGGTCCAAATAACTGAAAATAATGAGAATGAAGAAATCTCAATAAGTTATGTCTTGATGAGAAAAAGGTGGAATCGAAATAGTATTGTGGTGGACAATATTTTTGCTTATAATGTTGTTGTCGAAATAATGCAACAAGGTGAGGATTTTGAACCAAAATATGTCAATGAATGCACACAGAAAAATGATTGGCCAAAATGAAAAGAGGCAATTCAAGCGGAATTGACTTCACTTAAAAAGAAGTTTTTGGACCAATAGTCCGAACACCTGAAGGTGTCAAGCCAGTGGGGTACAAATGGATTTTTGTGCGAAAATGAAATGAAAAGGTGAAGTCGTAAGATATAAAGCACGACTTGTGGCACAAGGTTTTTTAGCAAAGGCTTGGCATTGATTATGTGGAGACATATTCTCCTGTAGTGGATGCAATTACCTTCAGGTATCTAATAAATCTGGCAGTTCATGAAAAGCTTGAAATGCGTCTAATGAATGTTGTCATAGCCTATTTATATGGCTCATTGAACCACAATATTTTCATGAAAGTTCCTGAAGCATACAATGTGCCTGAAGCATATAAAAATT